ATCTCTCTATATATCTGTCTATCTATCTGCCCTCTCTCTCTCTCTCTGACCCACTGTGACTCTCTCTCTTCCTCTCTGCAGTCTGTCCGGATGCCCCAGAGCCAAGAAGGGGGGGGTTAAACTAACCCCCACCAAGGATGACAAGGAGGACTCTGAGCTGTTGAGGTGAGCAGCAGTAGCTCTACTGTTAGAAGTATAATTAAGTGATTAACAACAATTACTCACTTTGTTTTTGACAAATATTATTATTGGCATTGTGTTTTTTCCAACAAAAGACATTACACAAATGTATAACCCCCCAAAGATAAATACATTAAAATACATAAATACAACATAGTCACAATAAAAAAAGTAATATTTAAATTAATAACATACAAAAATATACATATGATGTTGACAGTGAACAATAATTAAAAAAAGAAAACTCAAAACAACATACATTTAAAGAAATGATGTAAATGGGCATGTGAAATTGTCAAAAGGTTTAAACAGGAAGTAACAAAGCTGGTAGACAGGAAGCTACATCACATCCAATCAGATTGCCTACTAATTGGCAAGGTCGTACCTAGCTCCTTTCGGAAACATGTAAGAATGTCCCCATATAGCAGGTCTCAGGCTGTCCCTTTCCAGCATAGCTCCATGTCTCTAGGGCCAGGCAAGGAGAGAGCTTTTCTCAACACGGATTGGTTGAGGTGATTTGGGTTTTTTTCCAAAGACTGCTATTATAGCTTTAGTTTTTTCTTGTTGTCATTACGTTGTTGAATCATAGGGAGAACACCAAGAATACAGACTTTTGGGCATTCTGGAAGAGTGGCTGAATCTATTTGTGATAATGTGGCCAGAACATCTTCCCAGCAGTGGAACAGTGTTCCCTGATCATTATTACATGTTGCACATTGATCTGGACTACGATTGCTGACGTTTACTGAATCACAGATTTCTATAATAATCAGAGGTGTAAAGTAACTGAATTAATTTACTCAAGAACCGTATTTAAGTACAATTTTAAGATACTAGTACTTTCTTGAGTATTTCAATTGTTCCACCCCATGGAGGGGCTACTTTTTTCTCCACTACATGTATTTAATACCTTTGGTTACTTTACAGTAACTAAGTACCTGGAGTAAATTACAAAGTCATTCAAACTAGCTGCACCTTTACCAGCTTTGAGAACACTTTCATGATCAATCATTATAAAACATATCATATATATTATTCTGAAATGGACCAATCTGTACAATGACTGCTTTTACTGTCGCTACTTTAACTATATTTTGATGATAATACTTTTCTACTTTTACTTGAGTAACATTTTGAATGCAGGACTTGTACTGTAACAGAGTATTCCTACACTATGGTACTTCTTCTTTTACTGTAACAGAGTATTTCTACACTCTGGTACTTCGACTTTTACTCAAGTATAACATCTGAGTACTTCTCCCACCTCTGATTATAATTCTAAGACTAAACACCACATGTATTGACGTGTCAGTGTGGGCCCACCTTTCCCCCTCTGCTCAGTGAAAGAGGAGGCAGTGACACGGAGCTCTCTGTCTCCAGGTGTCCGGTTCCTGGCTGTGACAGTCTGGGCCACATCAGTGGGAAGTACGCCACCCACCGCAGTGCCTACGGCTGTCCGCTGGCCGCGCGCCGGCAGAAGGAGGGTCTTCTTAACGGCACTCCCTTCTCCTGGAAGGCCTTCAAGACGGAGGGCCCGACCTGCCCGACGCCAGGCTGCGACGGCTCGGGCCACGCCAACGGCAGCTTCCTGACGCACCGCAGGTACCCCCCCATCTGAGAGTCCACAGTGTCATCTCAAAGTGCAATCATTTCAAACTGTTGCAGGTATTTCTCGTACTCATCAACCTGATCTTTCTTACCTACTCTAGAGAAGTTGTAAAAGTATGCTAAAAATACAGGAAACCTTCTGGAAGTGAGCCGGGCATCAAAGAATATGTTGGTAGTGTCCAAACGGTGGTACTGCCTTACCGTGTCAGTCAGGTGGTACCATTAACCCCAAAAATACCTTTTCCATTGACTTAGAATTGGTAAAGAGACGTCAGTAAATCCCTTTTTTTCTCTCCATGCAATTGATTGAGCCAAGACCAGCGTCGGGAAATGCACGCTCTATTTACCTAACCCCAGATAATCCCGATACTTCAGTTCTCGAGAGCCAGGCCATTTTTTCTTCATGCGCCACTGAGAAAGTCTCAGGTGCCAAACTGAGTATCAGAGTAACTATATGTGATTTCTGCACTACCCTCAGTAAAGGGCGCTTAAAAACATGCTGGCCAAAAACAAGCACTGCTACAATTCTCTTCAGTACTAACGTCTGTGCTAATTGTTTCAAGTGAGATGTGAGCTCTTTAAGACCCTCAAAACGCGATAAAGAGCAGAACATAGAATCTCTATAAAAACACCACAGGCTCTTTGGTGCACGGGGGCCCTAGAGACAGGTTTACTGCGGCTTCTTCTATATCCCTACAAATAATGAGTCCTTCATGAGCCTAGTGTTCATAATGTCAGTGCTCTTGGTCCTGATCAGCTGCTCCTCTCAGTCTGTCAGGTTGTCCCAGAGCGTCGGCCAACAAGAAGAGAGCCAAGTTACCCGGAGACGAGTACATCACCGCCAAGTTCAGAGCCAGCGATGGTAAGAGACTTTTCTTGTGTCCCAAAATGCTATCATTACTACCAATACCAATATTTATAGATGTGCCACTACAAGTTGTGCACTACACATATTAGTGATAATAGAGATGTGCGGCTGCCAGAGGAAGGTCTGGCAGGTGAATTCCTGTTTGCTGACTGTGTGTTGTGTTCTCAGTTCTGGACAACGATGAGGACATCAAGCAGCTCAACCAGGAGATCAACGAGCTGAGCGAGTCCAACGGTGAGATGGAGGCTGACATGATGAACCTACACACTCAGGTGAGGCCCAGCTGTCTGCAGGGAGCCGCTGGACATGGTGAAGCTGTCACTCACTGCAGCTTCTTCAGTGGACTTACCTGAAAAATACCCTGCAGCCACAAACGTTTTCCTACATTATTATTATTATCATTTACATTTCCGGTTTTATTGTCAAGCTCTCTTCTTCAGGTTGTGTATGTGTCTGTGTTTCAGATCTCTTCAATGGAGAACAACCTAAAGAGCATGGAGGAGGAGAACAAACATATCGAGGAGAGGAACGAGGCCTTGTTCCTGGAGCTGTCCGGCCTGAGTCAGGCCCTGATCCGCAGCCTGGCCAACATCCGCCTGCCCGCCATGGTGAGCATCTGCACAATGACACGTTAGAAGAAACCTTTCCACTGTTTGGCTCTGCAGGAGGCATTTGGTCAATGTTTTAAAGGACAGGTGTCATGGCCATTTCCACTGATCATAATTACATTGTTGAGGTATACTAAAATAGATTTATACTGTGCAATTTTCCAAACTCACATTGGTTTCGCATACAGCATCTCTGTAAAGCATGTGTATTCAGCAGTATTCACTCTCTCCACTAAACGACTCGTTGGAGCTCTTGCCCCCCCCTCCCTGTGAGCCTAGTGTGCTCCGATTGGTCAGCTCGGCCACTCTGTTCTGATTAGTCAACCACCAGAGAGGCTCCGCCCATGTCTAACAGTGCTTTTTTCAGCTCGATCTGAGCGGAACATCAGTCTTATAATGGCGTCGGTACAGCCGTATATTTTATACGCTAACTAACCGAACTGTACCTACAACTGTTGTTATAGAAGAGTAAGTTATTTTTACCTGTAATAAACTACTACTGTTTGATGAGAAATCAAATCATGGTTTGCTATATATGAATGATATGTTATAGGAGCAAATAATTCAGGGAAGAAAGGATAGGCCTACTAAGTATTTCCATTCAACTTTATTTTTAGAAATGTACAAAATGAACATAAATATACATATATACACGGTATATCATCAATTCCTCCCCGTTGTCGGCATCTTGCCTATCGCAGCCGGGGCTTTTTAGGACGATGCATCAGTGTGGTAGTCCCGTCATGTATTGTCCGGCAGGATCTGGCTGGACGAAATCAAATGCAAATCACAAAATATTAGAGAAACTTAGTTGTTTTAGATTTGTTAGTAGTAGTTGTGGTAGGAGTGTGGATCTATCTAATCCATCTATATAATCAACACAGTAAGCTTGCCAGCTAATATGCTAACCTAGTTGTTTACCTTGGTAGCAAACACGATATGAACGGTGGCTCGGAGGAACGGCAACTATAATGTAGTGTAATAAAACTACTATGAACAAAAGCTAGTGGTTCATATTAGGCTAGCAATAACGTGTTTATAATTGCAATCTTATACGCGTAGTCTGCTACGTTCGGTCATTCATTGTAACTGGCATGAATACATTGTTTTCCGCTAGCATGTATAGCTAGCCTCGTTAGCTATACATGCTATCAGCGTAGCTCGGAGAAAAGCCAACTGTAATGTACTGACCGTACGGTAAATCACCCGGAGTATACTGTATGAGTATTCCGTGTGTGAATGCAGACATTCTCCTGCCATGACAAACATGTAAGGCCATCTGCTGACATTGTAGTTGATATATTTAAACGCTAGCAACGTCGTTAGCCCAGTAAGCTGGGCTTGTTTAGTGTAATAAAACCACTATGAACAAAAGCTAGTGATTCATATTAGGCTAGCAAGAACATGTTTAGAATTGCAATCTTATACGGGTAGTCTGCTACATTCATTGTAGCTGGCATAACAACAATGTTTTCCCGAGCAAACTCATGTCTAGCTCCGTTTTTTAGCTCGGTAGCATACACGCTAGGAACGACAGCTATAATGTAATTACGTTTCGCGACTGACCGTACGGTAAATCACCCGGAGTATACTGTCTATGAGTATTTCGTGTGTGAATGCAGACATTCTCCTGCTATGAGATACATGTATGTAAGGCCATCTGCTGATATTAGAGTTGATATATGGAAACGCTAGCAACTTAGTTAGCACGGTTAGCACTGTGTCAATGGCTTAGCAGTCCGACACACGTTTACACATTTAAAGAGTCTTGTTTGATAAATACACAAATAACAATGCAAACTTACAGGTTGTGTACCCGAATCTTCCCCTGCTCCAAACGGTCCAAACAAACTAGGAATAGCATCGTCCTTCAGTTTCAAATGCTGTGCATATCCGGCCTCAAACTGGGCAATGTTTTGGAAGCTTTCGTCTGTGAAATGCCGCGCACACAGTAACGTTCTTCGAACCTCTGAAGGAACAGTGTTAAAAAGACATTTCAACCACTGACTTCGTCGTGGTTCTTCCGTCGGTAGGACAAACAGTTCAGATTTCTCCTCACATTTCAGGAAACAGGTCCTTGGCATTGGCATGACTGGATCGATTGTGAACTGAACCAGAGCTTCCAACAGTAAATGTTAGGCTGGCAGAGGGTGCGGCCAGCGCCGCTGGGTGTGGCCATAGCTCTTCGGGATTGGTCCATTTTGTTCCGGGTACCGCATGACATCATGCCGTACCCGGAAGAATCAAATGGACAGTGACGTATCTCCAACGAGGCGTTTTGGGGAGGTATTTTCTGTGTTAGAGTTTTACTCGCTACAGGGTGTACTTTGAGGGTTTTGACTCTGCACACCGTTTACATGCATACAAACCTTCATAACACACAAGGGGATGGGTAATAACCAGAAAAGCATGACACCTCTCCTTTAAAAATAAATGTATATTACCAATTTCTTTGAGATTTTACAATGCAACATTAGAACGAAAAAGTGAAATACTTGCAAGGTCTTATTATTTTTCTGAATTTTGTCCAATGTATTTGACAATCAAGTAAGGATTGCTGTCCAAAAAAGAATCACAGCCCTAAGAAGGATATTTTCATCTATTTAACAGCAGAGGAAATCAGTGAACCCTGGACATAGCATGTGTGTTGACAGGGTCTACGGCATATCAAATATTAGATTACTCTCAGTAAATGTCGAGTCATACTAAGTAAGCTTAGAAGGAATGGCATCCAAGCACAGTTCTGAGCGGCAGTTCTCACAAAGTATCAGTGCAGGAGCCTTCAGAAACGGACAGATGATGAATGGAGACCATAAAGCTGTAGCTCAAACTGAGGTGGATAAACCCTTCAGCTCAGAAACTCATCTGCTCAGCTTCTAATAACAATCCTTTAAAAGAACTCTAAAAAACCAAAGCATCATGATCTTAAAAATAGCACCTTCTTCAATGGGCTAGCACAGGTGTCCAAGCTTTATTCACTGAGTCACAGAAAAACATACAGCTCTCCAGAGAGTTTCATTCATTTCATGTTGGCAGCTCATCCCTTAAACAGCAGCCTGAGACTGCCTCTCCCTTCACAGCCCCCTATAAAGTGGGGGGGGGGGGGGGGCAACCGGGGAAAATAGGAAGGGTTTACTTCTTGTTATGCAGATAAGTTATTGGGCTTTTTTGATCAAATAACATTTGTTGGAAAATATTATCATCAAAAAAAGTGGCTTATTAACACATGAATACTGTGTCATATATGTTTAGATATATTTAAGAAGAACATTATAAGTGAAGCACGAGTTTCAGGTGTGGGTCATATTTCATTATACTTTTACAATTAGCTGAGGGCCAATTCAAATGGACCTGGGCTTGGATATAACTTCTTTTAAATCATTTTTATACACATATATTACAAAGAACTGCTATAGCTAGCTTGACTCGCTGAGTGGAGCACCGAGGTGGAGGTTTCTGTCAAATGTTCCACAGTCCACGGTGCGCTTTGCTAGTGACAACAGAGCTAGTGTTGCATTGTTCTGAGTGATAAGTGGAAGTGTGCAACTCAAACTCAAGACTCACTGCCTGAGACATTTGGATATGATTTGTCTTTGGTGACCTCTGACCTTGCTTGGTTCCAGCAGGAGCCTGTGTCGGAGCAGAACTTTGACAGCTATGTGGAAACCCTGACCCACATGTTCACCAATAAAGACTGCTACCAGAACCCTGAGAACCGGGCTCTGCTGGAGTCCATCAACCAGGCGGTGAAGGGCATCGAGGTGTGACGGACAGGAGGACAGGCGGCGGGACATCAAAGCGACTACATCCATCTTTCTTTCCAAACCTTTAGATTATGTATGTAATTAATTATTCTCATTTGGAGCTTCGTCAGCTGTTCTTTGCATTAGTTTGATGTTTGCATGTTGCTTTATGATGGTATGAGCGTCAACACATAGTGTGAGCAGGGCTTCTCCAGGTACAGGCACTCAGTGCAGAGGGTCAGGAATGCAGTATGAGCCTGAGCTGAGCACATCCTCTTAGTTAGTGAACATATCCCAGCACTCATTAATGTTGATAGTATTCTATATGAGCATAGTGTTGTTGCACCTCCAGGACTAGTTTGTAGATTCATTCTTAATATTGCTGTGTAACTATTTAAGTCCTTTGCAAATGTTGGTTTAATAACGTATTCATTCATGTCTGCTGTATTATTCTTTATGTTAGCCTATTTATTATTCATTATTTATTTATTTATTCACTTTTTTAATTTTAAAATGCTACCTGAGAATATTGAAATGGTAACCAAGAGAAGGGAATCATTTCCTCTGCATTGTTGAACAATGAGGAAATATTTTAAGATATCAACTATGAATTGTTTTATATATCTTATTTATTTAAAATACTGGGATCTTTTTAAGTGCAAATATTTTGTAACTAAAAGTTTTTTAATAATTTTCTAAAGATTTTTTTTGAGTGCTTCCGTTTATATGATTTTCCTTTTTATTTTCACAAACTATTTTGAGTACATTGCAATACACTGGGAAAATTGAGCTGCACATATTTGGTATTTATTTGGTGATGAAGAACAAAGTGATGGTGAATATTTATTTTGTATTGTCTAAGTGTTACTGATGGCTGTGTATGGATTAGTCTTTGGGTTGCTTTTGAAATAAAGGTTAACCCACAGTAAACGTGACTGATGTATGTTTATATTGACTCAATATACACAGGCTTTCAAAAGTATCCATCCCCCTTGAAATGAAGGAGCTCTTTCTGGATCACAAGTGATACTTCAACCAAAAATCTTCCAGTCAGAATATGTATAGCATGAACTTGCAACTTCTCTTTGTTTCCAATGATGTCTCCTTGTTATTTCCTGTTTATCCATGGGGGATGTAACAGTATATTTTGAATGCCAATATGAATTATTCGTCAGCAGACCTTTAAAAGAAAAAACGGAAAATGCTGCTTGCCAAAGTATTCAGATTGTAAACATTAATATTTGGTACAGCCATCTTTTGCTGCGGTAACAGTTTGAAGTGTTTTGTGGTAAGTATCTCGCAGCTAAAACTGTTCAGAGGGATTTCTGACGGTATAAACAAAACAAAATCTCAATGTAAAGTATAAGCCCAACACGTTTTCTGAGGAGGGTTGAATACCACCATGCCACTGCATACACACCACATTGTGGGAGAAAATGTAACACTCATTCAAATAAATAACATTAATAACCCATGCTAAATGTTAGGTTAATCACTTGGTGTAAAGGAAAGTATTCAGAAGTGGCCCATTAATGAAGCATTCACCATACACTCTTAGTTTGTGTCCCCCCACTTTACAAATATGTTTATTAATATTTTTTAACGCAAGCCGTCATCGCCACGGAGGAGCACACAGCCTCTGTGAGAGGGAGAGAGAGAGAGAGAGAGTGATAGATAGATAGAGCTTTATTGTCTCCCTTAGGAGAAATTTGATAAGAAGATAAGAATAAACAAGTTTAAATGATTTGTTATTGGTTGTGATCATATTCTAAAGATGTTTGGATTATTGAAAAGTATACAGCTCCCTTTCATATGAGTGTTGAGAGCTTTATCCATAAATTCATTTTGTGCTCAAAGTGCACCAGATTGATGCATTTCACTTCAACATTTAAAAAAAAGTCTTCCCGGGGGAGCATGCCCCCGGACTCCCCTAGAGGAGGTGAGGTCCACCCCCAAATAAAGCAGTTAAAATTATTAAATTGCATACATTTTATTTGAGTAAACACTGAAAACGGGTCCTACAGACCCAAACAGCACACAAAGGTTGAAGGTGTGGTGATTGACATAATTCATTCACGGAACTATGGGTTGGGGGTATTGTTCCGCACGGACACATATGTTAACTGTACTTACTGTGTGCCCTCCTTTCTTCTCTTCCCGGGCTTCAAGCTGATAACATGTGTTTCTGATGCTCAATAAAGCTAACTTAGTACCTTCGATACACCGCCTCCGACTCCCGTCTCTCGGCACTACATTGGTGACCCTGACATAAGTCTCGTAGAAGTATCCGAGACTGAACCGAACATGGCAAAAAACGCAGTTTTTCTCGAACTGCCAGAGTTTTTGGGAGACGTCTGCGGCTGCATCGTTCGCACAGACTGAGGCTCATTTCGCCTTCCGCGGAATGACCGATGACGACGCACGCTATCTCCACATCGTTTCGGCACCGGGAGACAGCAAGCCTTCCGACCACATGGAGATGATGCATCGTATTTGTATTTGTAAATGTTGATAAGTATGTAAATGTAGCTTGTAAATATGTTGTATGATATCCTCTATTGTTTTATGTTGTTTTATGTTTCATGTGGAACCTAATTGCTGCAGGTCTCCCTTGAAAAAGAGATCTATGATCTCAAGGGACAATCTGGTTAAATAAAGGTTTGAAATGAAATGATGATGCACGACCTGGTAGGTACTGAAGAACCCGACTTCTTGTTCATGGAACTGTTTCTTTGGGACATGCGGCCGCATGTCCAGCCAGCGCTCGCTAACATGGCTAGTGTTGAGCCCCGCGCTTTAGCCGAAGAAGCTGACCGGTTCTTCCTGGCTGCCCGGCGTTTTACCCCTGTGGTGCTGGCCCCGACACGCAGCGGCACCTTCCCTGGTAGAGGCACGCCACCTAGCAGAGGCTCCGGGGCCGACGACAGCGACTGACGGCTAACGGCTTACAGCTAACGGCCGTCGACAACGACTAACGGCTTACAGCTAACGACTATCGACGACGACTGGCAGCTAACGGCTAGCAGCTAACGACGATGACTAACAGCTAACGGCTAGCGGCTAACGATCTCCATCTGTTAACATCCATCTGTTAACCCTTTTTTTTGTGGTGCCGGAGAGGAGGTTCGACCATGTCTGGTCGACCTCGTGTGGATCCTCTCACAATTTCACCTACCTGTTTTCGATAAGTGGACAGGACGACCCTTTTGAGCTTTTTCCGGTGCCTGAGAGGAGGTTCGGCCATGTCTAGGTCGGCCTCGTGTGGACCCTCTCACTGTTTCACCACTGGCCCGCCCTCCTCGGCCCCTGTGGTGCTTCCTCCCGGACGCGAGGATTGTGTCCATGGTTGAATTCAGGGGGGGCTTGTGTGGTGATTGACATAATTCATCCACAGAACTATGGGTTGGGGGTATTGTTCCGCACGGACACATATGTTAACTGTACTTACTGTGTGCCCTCCTTTCTTCTCTTCCCGGGCTTCAAGCTGATAACATGTGTGTTTCTGATGCTCAATAAAGCTAACTTAGATACACCGCCTCCGACTCCCGTCTCTGCACTACAAAGGTAAGCATATAATGTTAAAATGAGCTAAATATATACACTGTTTTAGTGTTGAGTGTTATTTTAGCATTTTAAAAGTGATAACCTGTCAATAGATTTTGCTCTGTAAACATTGTTTGTTTGGCTGTCTTATGGCGCATTTCCACTACAGGGCCTCGCTCTGCCTCGCTCGGTATGGCTAGGCCTCGTTAGGCCTTGTTAGGACTGGCTCACTTTATGCTGCGTTTCCATTACTGACCGTCCACACAGCAGCGTTAAAAAATCTTGAAACGCTTCTGCCCATTCACTTTGAATGGGGTGACGTCACTTTGCCTCACTTTTCGCCGAACTGCATTGTGGGCAGGCGAGCGGAGATTTTCAGGATTCAAAGTTGAGCAATGTTCAACTTTTGAAGCTGAGGTGGAAGCGTCAGCCAATCAAATCCCGTGTATGCAAATCTGACAGTTCAAGCGCTAGCCAATCAAACCGCGTGTATGCTGGGAGAGACATACCGCAGGTCATTTCCTCATATTCCAAAAAATGGAGGAGAAATTAGCGGTAGGGAATCACCCGGTGCTTTATGACCAGTCCCTATTTACCTACCGGGATATAAACCGGAGGAGCCAGGCATGGAAGGAGGTGGCAGAGACAGTGGTATGTTTTCGCCTGTTTGGGGAGTTTATATCCAGTTTACTTCAAACTTTTTTGCTTCGTATGTCGGGGGCGGGAGATTCATGTGATTGGTTGTTGGTGCCTTGCTCGCAAAAAATCCCCAAGCTTCAGATACGCCCACCTCCAAGATTTTTTTAACGCTGCTGTGTGGACGGTCCGTTACAGTTTAGGAACTGGGGCAGTAACTATAGTAACGCAGTGTAGGCGGAGCCGTGACGTCATCTTCAATGAGAACCCCAGAAAAACAACATCAGCCGTTAGCTGTTAGCACTCAGAGCTCACAGCTCTTCATATCTGTTCAGAAACTAGACAAAAGTTAAACAAGTGCAAACCACAGACTGTGTCATGGCGAGTACAGTCGCTGGTTTATTTATGTCTGTATAGGCCGTTGTTGTGAGTGTGGACGGTCGGAGCATATACTGCGTTAGCTTAGCCGATCTCCATTCAGAAAACACGCATTTTAAAAGGTTTTTCGCCTGCCGTCTGTCTGCAGACTTGTCAAAGCATTAATTCATGGTTTTTACTACCCGGTATCAGTATGTTGTTACTTCGGTATCATTTTTGAAACGTGTATTACAATTAAATCACGGTCAAATATGTTCATTTTGTTGTAGTTGTAGCCCCCTTGCCAGCGATTCTCTCTCTAGTTTAGCATACTCAGCCCGACTCAGCCTGGTTGTTGGCCCGGAAAGAACCTCGATTTTATGGGGCCAGAAAAACTGTGAAATAGTACCCGCTAGCCGGTACTAGCCAAAGCTCGCTTAGGGCCCCCAAAAGTCTAGGGTCGGCCCTGTGTGAGCGTTCGTGTGTGTTGGAGGGGCTCTGTAAGGAAGTCTGAAGGAAGGGGCATTTTTTTTCCGGCTGCGTACTTTCAAATTCAGTGGCGAGCCGTCAGGGCCCTCTAGGCCCTCTGTGAGGGCCTAAGATATTCTAAAAAATAATATTTAAAAACATTTTTAAAAAAAATATTTTTTTTAAATATATATTTTTTTAATATTATTTTTGTTATATTTTTCATTAGTTTTACCGAAAAAAAACTTTATTTAATTGTATTTAAAAATAACATTTCCAAAGAAATAAATCCTTCGAATCTGCCTGTTCAGTCTCAGTTGAATGTGAAGAGTTACATGAAAGAAGCTCGTCTGGCCCTCTCTGCGATTCACAGAGGGCCCGCTATAGTAATTGAACGAGAGAGTAATGTCAAATGACAGTACAATTGACCAATCATATCTTCCCTCTAAATGGGTGGGTTTTATTATCGCGGACTTTATGACAAGTTCCGCCCGCTGTGAAACTTTTCTTGTTTCTATAGCAACAACAACTTCCTGTCAACAGCGTGAACTCGCCTTCAAAATAAAAGCATGCCAAATTACACTTAAGACATACAACTGCAACGAAAGTAACAAACACAATGCAATATCATTTTCAATGTCAAAGAACAGAAATTGGGTTCACAGGTGTTTTGTGTGGTAGAGGGTCGCTGTCATTAATGCGTTTTGCACCCTGGGCCGTTGTTTTGATATTCCGCTGAAGTATACGCTGTGACGTAATAACTCTTTTTTTCGAGGGTGGGGGTCAGAGGGCCTAGGTATAAAGCTCACGGCTCGCCACTGTTCAAATTCTAGCGCACTCGAGCTGGTTTCTCCATTCTTACCTACCCTACCTTTAAGTAAATATACATAATGTAAAAAACAAACAAAGACTACGACACCACTGTTGTACA